TCTATGGGTTATTTAATGCCGAAATCTAAATATGAAAATTCAAACTTCATAATTAATAATACACGATTACACTATTTTGGGATTAAATTATAATTAAATTGGTGCATTTTTTCTCGGTGATTTTTAACAATATATTCATTTTTAAATACTGATTTTTAAGTGATGCAGTTTTTTGTTTTTTTTACATATCATACAGGGTGTCCATAAAGTTCGTGTGCACTTTAAAATATTTATAACTTTATTTGTATTTGCGATAGAAATAATTTGTAAAAAGGATTAGAAAGAAGTAAATCTATGTTTTTTAAGGTTTTATTGAAATTTTATTTAAGTTTTCACATGTCCTCTATCATTAGCAATATAAAGGGTAATACGATTTTGCAGTTCACGGAAAACATTTGTCAACTGATTTACAGTAATGCCTGAAATCACATTAGTTCTTTTAGCTATACTTAAAACTACGTACATTAAAGTATGTTTATATTTCTGAGATGAGGTATTATGTACATTATTTACATTATTCGGACTATTGTCCTCATCTTTGTCGCCATATTTATTACAACGTTTCGGCCGTTGTACGCTCCGGCCGTTATCTCCTGTTAATTTTCCTCTGCAAGTTATCCATCGCCTTAACCGGGTATTGAACTCACACTCTTTGGGTCCTGTCACTGGATCTTGAGGACACATGGCCCAGTGGATAAAGGCGTTGGTTAAATCCAGTGAGAGGACCAAAAGAGTGTGCGTTCAATACCCGGTTAAGGCAGTAGAGAACCTTCAGAGAGAAATTAACAGGTGATAACTGATGACTGACATCCATCAAACATGGCACGTGGATCTAGAACAGTCTACCCCAGCGAGCGAAATAAAGGGTTCAATTCGAAATTCTAACCACCTGAATTATTTCTATCGCAAATAGAAATAAAGTTATAATTTTTTTAAAGTACACACGTACTTTATGGGCACCCTGTCTAATCAAAATGCAGAGAAATAGAAATTCTTCGTATAAGAACAAGAAACAGGTTTAAAATGACACAAAGTAAAATTATGCAGAATTCATTGTCTGTTTTCGTGTCTTGAGTCAGTGGATTGGTTTCGCTTGGTTGTTTTTTGTTTAGTGGCATATCAACACATCTATGGGTTATTTAATGCTAAAATCTAAATGAAAAGTTAAATTTTATAATTAATTTAAGAGAATGGTATTATTTCATAATTAAATTATAATTAATTAGCTGAATTGAACCAAAATGAAATTACACAACCAAACGAGAAATGAAAACTTCTTTCTCTTCCCAAGAAATGAGTTTAATCATAACATATGGATTCTATTAAAATTATTTTGAAAATATATGCCATACCTCAAATTTTGCTATTAAAATATATCGAAATGATTTTTTTTATACTTTCCTAGTTTTTGTTTTATTAATTTTTCTTTGTGGATTCAATATTTGCCTCGAGGTGAAAACCTAATCCTGACTCTAGGCGGTAGCATTTAGGTGAAACCCTAAGCTCAAAATTTCCTGTCTTTTGTAGTTCTAAATAAATTCGATCTTTTTGTTATTTCTCCTAAACTTTGATCCGCCATCCGTTTACTCAAGTTCACTAAGTAGGTTATGCATTCCCCTCCCCGTGTCCCTCTTGTCTCCAATCTGTCCCGAGAGTATCAGATTTTCCAAGCCCTCTTCCTTCATAATGTGCCCTAGAAATTTCAGCTTTCTCTTCCTGATGTTAAGTATAATATTTTTTTAAATAATTTCACTCCAAGTAAGGCAATAAAGCCACTAGGACGCAAAAGGCTGTTAGGTATCATAGAATATGAGAAAAAACAACTATTAAGGAGAGAGGACAATAAAAGAACAAGTGTTAAGAAGACAGAAGATAACGATTGACATTGCATCTCAATATTTGATTATCAAATTTGCTCGGAATAGTGTTCCACAAGCGAGAAGTGCGAAATTAGAAATTGTTAACATAGGACTTACTGTTAGATTTAGCCATTTCAACAGTAAATAGATGAGACCTTGACAATAATATAATTGACAGATGGCTATACAGATGAAAACATTCAGTGGATGATAAAAAGTTTGACTGCAGAGGCGTTTAGCAGTTGTAACTCTCCCTGGGAGCAGGGAGAATTGAATATTGATAATTGTTTCTTCATTACATTTGCTCATTTCAAGTAGGATTCTATGGCTGCATTTGCTTTTTTTAATTTTTTTTTTTTAACATTTCGACCCAAGAAAGGCAATAAAGTCACTAGGATTCAAGAGGGTACTGAGTGTTAGAGAAGATGCGAAAAAGAAATTACTCCTAAGGAGAGAAATAAAAGAACAAGAATTAAGAAGACAGAAGTTAACGATCGACTTTGCATTTACATTTTTTGATGAGCAAATTTGGCAGCAAAGCAAAAATCCGGAAAAGAATTCTACAAACGAAAACATAACGACTGAATCTTTCAATAATATATATATATGTGTGTGTGTGTGTGTGTGTGTGTGTGTGTGTGTGTGTGTGTGTGTGTGTGTGTGTGTGTGTGTGTGTGTGTGTGAAAATCTGTATATAAATATAAATAAATATATATATTAATTATTATATATTATATGCGCGGTACTTATTAGAAAGCGCTCAATATCAGAGCGCGCATATACTATCAACAAATATATATATATATATATATATATATATATATATATATATATGTATATATATATATATATATATTAATTACTGTTGAAAAAATTATTAATTAATGATGATTGTGCGCATAACGACTTTATGCTATGTAGAATCCTCTTAATATTAATTTACAGGTGCTGTCAAAAATGACATCATATGAACTGAAGTCCTTTAAAAAGGGCTCTGAGCGAGTGAAGCCTGATGGCAAAAAAAACATCCTTCTTTAAATGTTTTGAACTAACGCTACAGAATCACAAACGAAATAACAAATAACAGAAATCACATCACTTGAGGACAACCAACATTTTCATCATTTTACCCAAGCAAGGCAATAAAGCCACTAAGTTACTGAGTATTAGAGAAAAGTAAACTATTAAAGAGAAAGGAGAATAAAGGAAGAATACTTAAAAACACGGTAGATAACGATTGGCATTGCATTTACATTTTTGAAGGTCAATGTTGACCGGAAAATAAGAAACCGGAAGAAAGTTCCACAGGTGAGACGTGCGAGAGAAGAAACTGTTAGCATAGAACTTACGGTTACTTCTAACCATTTCAACTGTTAAATAATATACCTTCTCACCAATCTAGTACAGCGCTTAAATTCCTAAATTCTAGATACCATAGATGAAAGTAATATCTATTTTGATAATACAAAAATGTGAAACAAGGCCAAATAGGGTACAAGGGAGGGATGGCCTTCAATCGTTCTTATCTAAAACTTCGATATTAACAATTACTGACCCAAACATACCACGGTATTCTTTACACCAAAACAACACACTCTGAATTACCATTCTTATCACAATCACCATAATACCTCAAGTCTCTATGAAGTCCTAACTAACTCCCATCTGTACAATTTGTCTGTGGTCGGGCAAATAAAAATACCATAGATGAAAGTAATCTCTATTTTGATAATACAAAAATGTGGCAAAACGCCAAAAGAAGGATAGGAGAAGACAGGTCTTTAATTTGTCCTATGTTAAACTTCGCTACCCACAATTACTAATCCAAACATACCAGAGTATACCTTACACCAAAACAATCACCAAAATGCCTCAAAGTCTCTATGAAGTCCTAACTAGTTCTTATCTGTGTGGCGGTAGGGGAATAAAAATACCATTATTTATGTGTCATTCGTCATATACGCTTAGGCGATCATGTATTTACCCATAGCTGGGGGAGAAGAAGAGGATTCATACCTTTCCCAAGAGTATTAGCACGTAAGTGAATATAATGGATTCGACTAGAAAGTCAGTCAGTTATGTGCCATACGTGTTACACGCTTAGGCGATCATGTATCTTTCGATAGATGACTGATGAGGCAGATTTTTTTTTCCCGCAGTATGTTGTCATTTCTTTCTACGGTAGACCAGTTGCTATCCAAAGCTATAGAATCCGGTCTGTCCTGCTATTTACCTATAGCTGGAGGGGGGGGAGAAAGGATTCATACCTTTCCCAAGAGTATTAGCATGTAAGTGAATGTAACAGATTCGACTGAAAAGTCAGTCATTCAGTTACGTGTCATGCATGATACACGCTTAGGCGATCATGTACCTTTCGATACATGACTGACGAGGCAGATTTTTTTCCCGCAGTAGGTTGCCATTTCTTTCTGTGGTACGCCAGTTGCCATCCAAAGCAACCCAGTCTGTCTCGCTATTTATCCATAGCTGGTGGGAGAAGAAGAGGATTCATACCTTTCCCAAGGGTATTAGCACGTAAATGAATGTAATGGTTTCGACTGGAATTCGAACTCGGCTCTCCGATTTCTCAATCCGAGCCGCTATCCATTTTTCCCCCTCTCCACTTACCATAACTATGATAAAATAATATTTACTGAATTATTAATACAAAATGTGGCACAAGGCCAAAAGAAGGAGATTTTTTTTTTCTGGTTTTCAATCTGTCTTTTCTTAAACTTAACTAGCCACAATTACTGAATTAAATATACCACAGTATTCTTTATACCAAAAGTAGGAATTTTTACTTACCATTCTTACTATAGCCGCCGCCATAATGCTTCACGGTTTCTATAAAGTTCTAACTAGTTCCCATATGTACAATTTGTCAGTGGCGTAGGGAACAAAATAAAAATATTTAAAAATGTGACCCCAATGAATGCCATAGAGTAAAGTTCATCAGAACAATTTCCATGAAACTATTTATTGAAAAGACACATTTTGTTTCCATTGTCTCTAAAAGTTCTTCGTTGCACACATGTTCAGTCAATAGCATTCTCGGTCACGTCCTTATTTTTAATTCTATATCAGACATCTGTTTTCTACTTACACGGCTGTTATCTCGAAGATAATCTTAAAACCTAAATGAGTGACGTTATTTCCTTGTCTTTTTTTTTCTTTCCAAAATTTGCCAGACCAATTCCACCGGCGTCTTTCGTAGACCAGCAGGAAAATATCTGCGTGACGATTATTGGTTTGATAGGAATTTAATAATTGTTTTATTTGACCCTTGTTCATCAGGAAAAGTTGGTTAGTCATCTTAGATAAAGCGTTTTTTTGGGGTTTTTTTTTTTATTATTATTTCCTCTTCCGTGATAAATATCTTTATCCACACGTCAAATGTTCAAAGCAACGTACTGCACGATTTTCTTTCAACGTTTGGAAGCTGTTTGGGGTGAAACCAAAGACTTTGGAGAATGGAAAACAGATGAAAGAAAGCCAAAACAATAATTCATTTCGGAGATTCCTTTTGGATTAACACAATAAAAATGGTGACGCGGAACTAGACTTTGGCTGAGTTTTTTAAAAGAACGATTTTATCATGAGATAGAATTTGGATTTAAGATGCGTAGAATGCCTGATGACAAGGTTCCTTTGTGCATTAAGGCCATACAAAACGGGAAAAATTAAGTTTGGTTTTATGACGAGCGAAAGAATTTTCTGAGCATATGGTGATTTCAAAAACGTAGCTTAGATGTGGCACAAGACCGAAAGTATGGCGCACCAAATGAGTATCCAATTCACTAATCATTCATTTGTTTTTGTATATCGCCATATCAACCCGTATGGGATATTTAATGCCATAATCTAAATGAAAAGTCAAACTTTATAATCAATTCAAGAGAATGATATTATTTCATGTTTAAATTATAATTGCCCAGCGCCATTTTTTTAATCAAATAATCTTAAAAAATCAAATGAATCAAAACTTACAAGAAATTATATCAAATGATTTTTCTTTTTAACCTTTTTGACAATATATGCCAAGTCTTTAATATCATTATATGTATTGCAGATCACTTTGCTATAAAAACGTATTTCTGGTCATTTCTTTTTAAAATTATTACTTTTACATTTACGGCAAAAGTATTTATCATTTTAAAAATAAAACATCATCCGTGATGATAGAAAAAAAGATGGATATGTCATCATCCTAACCTTCGTCATTATAAAAAAACGACCTTTTCAAACATGGAGGGACCTGTAATTTTGTAAACAAGAACAACTAGCGAAATACGCGATGGAGAAAATGTATATATTTATACTATTTTAGTGATGTTTAAGAAAATTTAGAGGAAAAATGAGGTAATAGATAAATTGATTGAGGAATCTGTCCGAGTTCGAATTCCATTTGAATCAATTACATTCACTTACGTGATAATACCCTTGGAAAGATATTTTCCTTTATTCCCCCAGCTAAATAATAGTATATGTTTGACATACCGGGTTCTATAGAAATTCAATGGCAACAAGACTACCGGATTTGAAAGAAAAAAAATTTCTTCATAACTTTATCTTGCTATATAAGTTTAATAAATCATGTGGAAGATATCGATCAGTTTTGCAGGTGATTTATCTAAGTGTTAAATAGAAATTTTTCAGGGATGAAATGTTTGAACAGCAAAGGAAGAATCAAACTTCACTTTTTATCGGAATTTCTAGAAACAATGTTTTAATCAAATACGTCCAAAAGCTAAAAAATTTGTTAATCGTATATAGATGTTCACAATTATAAATTGTAGAAACAAAACCTTTTTCGATTACTCAATTCTCATCGTAATTGATTTAGTGAGACAAGCTTGTTAACCATTACATCACGTCAAAGTGTCCGGTGATTCAAAATACTGCAGATTAATTTGGTGAAAAACAAACACAAACATTTTTTCCCATATGCTACCGTAAATAGGTTCCCATGTCGCTCGGGTCACACTCCTCCATAGTCTTAGTTTTTTACCTTGTTTCTTGTTTAAGATTCATTTTCCAGTTCCTCTTACTCTGTAACCCTCTTATATAAACTTTGGTTCTTTTGTTTATTTTGTACAGGTTGAAAATCATAGAAAAGAATCCATAGTATATCTGTATAATAAAAAAAATAGATTTTTAATCATATTTATTACACTTTAAGAATCCATCCCCGGATAGTAACTCAAGGAGAGAGATATATGACGATTTTTTATAGATAGATGTAAAAAGACTCAGATAGATAGATAGATAGATAATTTTTAGATATGATTTATAGATAGATCAACAATTAAATAGACGAATCCATACCTATGATAATATAAACAGGACACAGATAGATAGATAGATAGATAGATAGATAACAAATATACACAGTTAGATAAAATGAAGCCATACCCATGAACATTAATGTAAATAGACATAGATAGATGTTCAAGAGATTCATATATATATATATATAGATATATAGATATATAGATATATAAATTGATATATATATGTAAAATAAACTCAGATAGATAGATAGATAGATAGATAGATAGATATATAATGATAGATGATTATTTGTCCAAAATAGACGAATTTTTACCCAGATAATTCTAAAACAGACTTCAGATAGAAAATAGATATGAAAAAATATTCCATATATATATATATATATATTTTATATATAAATATCCTTTTGTTAGACAGACAATACAGATAAATGACAGAAGACAGACAAATGAAAATTTAGACAGGTATATTCAGATTGCACAGATGTAAACAGACTGAGATAGATCTCTCCAGAACTGCACCGATGTATATTCACTGAGTCACATAAGCTACCCTGATGGTATGTCTTACGAATGTCCAATTTGCCTATCTCACAAGCGATGATACGTAAGAAAAAATAATTTTTGAGTCGAGAAATCACGTAAACTGAGCCTAACGTTTAAGATTTCAGGATCAATGGTAATAACATTTGGGAGTCAATGTTTTTCCGCTTGCAAGGATGATTGCGACGCCTGGAGCCTATCTAGATAATCAGATTGAGAAATGGAAGCGAACTACAAAGGCAGACCGACAAGGTATTTCTAGAAACAGGATCAGTTTTCGTTCATAGAAATTGTTTGAGGTTCTTTATTGGCTTAGGTTATTTGAAATAATAACGATTTTTTTAGGTGACATCTTAAAAAAAAAAATGTTTCAACATCAGATCTTTGGCTTCAGATTTAGAAGGATAAAGGTCAAATTCTTTTATATATTTGCTTTTTTTATTTATATATATCCTACGTATTTTCATGACTGGTGATCGGATTGAAAATTGGGCCAAAACTATCAGGTCAGCACATAAAACTGTCACCATTTATTAACAAAGGAAAAGAATCATAATGTCGTAATCAAGATCTAACTTTTCACACCATCTTAAACAAAAAAGTTTCAAAAGAAACTTCTTTTTTATTTACAGAAAGGTTCACCCTTTACAAACCAAAAAAAATGATTTTTGAAAAAATAAATAATTAATTAATTATGTCTTCTATACCACAACAGTTCCTGGTTAAATCATTTGACGTGATTTCAGGGCGATTTGAGAAGCTGGTATCAAAATCTGGTGGCCATATTGAATTTTAAATAAAAAAAAATAAAAATTTATTTCCTCATTTATCCATTTCTTTTAAAAATTATAGTCAATAAATAAATTATAAGTATTTTAAAATGGGGAGTTACTTTTCAATTACCCTATACTGTATATGACAAATTGGAAAAAAAAAAATACTTTATCCGCTAAGAAATTTCATCAGGCCGGAAAGTTTACATTTTGACGATTTTAGACATGCCTACTCAACGATATTTTTTGTATTGAATGACTATTTATATAAAAAACAACAACAGACATTTTGTGTCGATTAATTTTACTAGTCGATGACATTTCCAGATTACAAATAAAGCTTCTCAGACAAGGAGGAAATTATTTACTTCTCGGCTCGTTGAGAAAAGACACAGGCGTGTCCGAAAATTCTGATTTTAAAAATCTTTCGCCTGACGCTTCTACTTTGTCAAAAGGCCTACGAATATACAAATGCCTTAAAATTATTATTAATATTATCATATTATTATTTTGAAACCAATTCACCTATATTTCTTTCATCCTATTATATCTATATATATATTTTTAATATATATATATATATATATATATTTATGTAAGCAAATATATGGATATAAATCCGACAGTATGAAGAAAAATATACGGAAAAAACAAACAAAAAATCTAATAATATGCAATTATGCTGTTTTTTAATGTTAATATAATGTCAACGTCGGACGTTTCGGTCTAGTAGACCATCTTCAGGACATATTCATAAAACATAATTAACATTAGACTATATTTAATTCAACATGATGTCCATCGTCTTTTCATGTTGAATTAAATATCATCAATATTTTTTTTAAGATTTTTGTTTGTTTTTTTTATATTTTTCTTCATATATATATATATATATATATATATATATATATATATATATATATATATATTTTTTTATATATAGACAACTTCAGCAGGCGAAGGTGATGAAGAGCAAGCAATATTTAGGACACCTTTTCAGCCACGTCACCAGATTGGGAAAGCAATGCTATGTCTAAAAAAGACCTAATTTGTCAACTTCATCATCGTGGACAACGCATGATATATATATATATATATATATATATATATATATATATATATATATATATATATATATCTATCTGAATTATATAGTTGGTCTAACGAGAGAAAAGTATATTTTAAAGAGAGGAGAGAAGCCCCAAACGTTTTTGGTTATAATGTATTTACTTTAAAAATATATAATAATTTATTTTCCATTTTTTGCTACAAATCCGTCGGTTTTTCTCATCAGGCAAAGGGTATTATATATATATATATATATATATATATATATATATATATATATATATAATATGATATATATATTATCAATATTATTATTTTTATTGTTTTTTATCGTTCGAATTTTCTCTTCATAAAAAATATATATCTATAGTATTTTTTAATCTCTCTCACCTGCATTCATACTCTCTCTCTCTCTCTCTCTCTCTATATATATATATATATATATATATATATATATATATAAAAAACACACACACACACACACACACACATATATATATATATATATATATATATATATATATATATATATATATATATATATGATTAAAAAATATAACTGTTCCAACGAG